TGTAATGCGAGGCAAAAGGCGTTTCCATCGTGCGGAATTACCGCTGCTGACGCAGCTGACTGACATGATCTCATCCTTATGTTGCGTTGCGTAATATAATACAATACAATACAATATTAAAGACTTTATAAATTAAGTAAAATGTATACAAACCTTTATTTCCCAGAAAGAGTGCACCAAATCGGCGGTGGTAGCGGCCGCTCTCTCCTGTAGTGGACTCAAAAAGCCCGCGCTCTGACTGTAATTCAGCAGCTGGGTCATTTCGTCGGAGAGGCTCAACTCAGCGGTTGGGTAGAAAAAAATAATCCAGCGTTAAAAATGACCAAGCAACTTAGTTACGGAAAAACTACCCAGCACCTGGGTAAAAATATTAAAAATAACCCACACAGCAAAATCCCCAGAGTTAAATCAACTCGGCTTCAGTGTTACTTTAACACTCTGTAGACTGGGACAATATGTACTCTGAGCAGAGTTGATTTAACTCTGGGGATTTTGCTGTGCAATAAAATGACCCAACAAGCTGAACCCAGCATTTGGGTAAAAAAAAAAACCCAGCACCTGGGTAAAAATATTAAAAACAACCCAATAAAATGACCCAACAGGCTGAACCCAGCATTTGGGTTAAAAAAAATAACCCAGCATTTTTTAGAGTGCATGATTGCCACCCCCACTGGATCCCCCAACATCATTGGGCTAGAGCAGGGGTTTTCAAAGTGTGGGGCGCTCCTCCCCAGGGGGGCGCCAGAGCATGTCAGGGGAGGCCCGGGGAAATTATAATAAATAAAAAATATAATTATTGAGTTAAATTATTATATGTAATTTTTTATTATACTTAAATGCTTTTATTTAAACGATACTAAAAAATAATAAGTAAAAAATATGAGAAACATTTTTCACCCAGAAGGCCGTAGCTGTGAATTCGCTGCTGTTTGGCAAGCCCGCCAATATGTATATGCCTATTAACACAATGGAGCGGTTTCTGAGACCCCCCGATTCAAAGCTTTCAACTTCAGGGCTTAAACCCAAAAGAAGACGATATGATGATCAGTATTTGAGTTTAGGATTTACGTGGACAGGACCAGCTGATAAACTACGACCTTTATGTGTGGTTTGTCAAGATATTTTGGCTAATGACAGCATGAAGCCCGCAAAACTTCTGCGACACCTTGAAACCAAGCATGTTGAGGTAGCAGGAAAACCTCCAGAATTTTCCAGAGAAAACTTCAAACCTTTTTAAGGTCAGAAAAAATAGTGGAAGATTTTGTCAAATTAAATGGAAAGGCCACTGAAGCTTCATATTGCGTTGCATTGCGTATTGCCAAGGCAGGCAAAGCACATACCACTGGAGAGACGTTAATTATGCCGGCAGCAAAAGACCT